AAAAAAGGTGCAAAAGGGGTTTGCCGGGCAAACCAAGAATAGCGTTTCGACACCTTATCAAGGAATTGTTTAAGACTCTACACCATGTATGTCAGGCCCATATTGAAGTATGCAGCATCAGTATGGAATCCACACTTGCTCAACCATATCAAGAAATTATGAAAGTGCTAAGGTTTGCAACAAGACTTAACCTCTCCTTGTAGAGGTATGTCCTACGAGGAGAGGCTAAGAGAAATCAACCGGACAACACTGGAGGATAGGAGAGATAGGGAAGATATGATAACGGCATAAAATACCAAGAGGAAGTGACAAGGTGGATAGAGAGACAATGTTTCAGAGATGGGACACAACAAGAAGGGGTCACAACTGGAAGTTGAAGACTCAGATGAGTCATGGGGATATTAAGAAGTTTTTCTTCAGCCATAGAATTGTCAGGAAGTGGAACAATCTGGAGAGTGATGTGGGGGAGGCAGGATCCATACATAGCTTTAAGAAAAGATACGATAAAGCTCATTGAGCATGGAGAGGGTGGACCTTATGGCAACCAATGAAGAAGCAGGAGCTGTGACTCGACCCCTGCAACCATAAATAAGTACACACACACACATATATAGCCTACAGATATACAATATATATATGCAGAACAACCACTATGAAAAAAGTGAAATTCCAATAGCTTTCATGACTTCTCACATTACAAAGGAACTATTATATATAATATTATATTATATATATATATATATAATTAAATATATATATATTCTTTCTTTCAACACACCGGCCGTATCCACCGAGGCGGGTGGCCCAAAAGGAAAAACAAAGTTTCTCCTTTTACATTTAGTAATAATACAGGAGAAGAGGTTACTAGCCCCTTGCTCCCGGCATTTTAGTTGCCTCTTACAACACGCATGGCTTACGGAGGAAGAATTCTGTTCCACTTCCCCATGAGATAAGAGGAAATAAACAAGAATAAAGAACTAGAAAGAAAATAGAAGAAAAACCCAGAGGGGTGTGTAATATGTGCTTGTACATGTATGTGTAGTGTGACCTAAGTGTAAGTAGAAGTAGCAAGACGTACCTGAAATCTTCCCATGTTCATGAGACAGAAAAAAGGACACCAGCAATCCATACCATCATGTAAAACAATTACAGGCTTTCGTTTACACTCACTTGGCAGGACGGAGTACCTCCTGGGCGGTTTGCTGCTACCAACCTACTACCTATAATATATATATATATATATATATATATATATATATATAATATATATATATATATATATATATATATATATATATATATATATATATGTGTGTGATGTGTGTGTGTGTGTGTGTGTGTGTGAAAAGAATCTTTCCTCCGTAAGCCATGCGTGTCTATGAGGCGACTAAAATGCCGGGAGCAATGGGCTAGTAACCCCTTCTCCTGTAGACATTTACTAAAAAGAGAAGAAGAAAAACTTTATAAAACTGGGATGCTTAAATGTGCGTGGATGTAGTGCGGATGACAAGAAACATGATTTGCTGATGTTATGAATGAAAAGAAGTTGGATGTCCTGGCCCTAAGCGAAACAAAGCTGAAGGGGGTAGGGGAGTTTCGGTGGGGGGAAATAAATGGGATTAAATCTGGAGTATCTGAGAGA